GAAACGACTGGCGCGCTGTTGTTAACTCGGCTATAATCGCGTAAGCGGTATCTACGCCAATCAAGAAGAAGAAGAAGAACTTAACGCATTGTAGCCTGAAATACAAAGTGCTCTTAAGAGGCGGTTAGTAGCTACTTCAAGTAGGGATGAGGATGTTTTGCATACTATAAAAAGTATTCAGTTTAAATCTATAATAAAGTCTTTTATAATAGCTCATAAAAATATTAGTTGACCGAGGGATAAAATGAAGGAAAGATATCTAATGATTTCATTATCCAGATAGATACCATATATATCATAAATTATTTGAAGAATATATTCAATTATTTTTTAATGACATATCGAAAAGTTCCTACTCTACATGTCCGTTTCGACAATTGAACAACATTCTTCGGACTTACTTCATATTGTTGTATAGCTTAACGTTTATACCTGTATGTGTGCATACGATAACAGTAAAATTAAAACTTTATGAAGTGCATTCTAATCTCTTTGTTTGCTCTCTGAGAATTGACAATTTACAAAAGTGAATACTTTGTAATAACACCAAGCTTTCGACGCTTCGATAAGCGTTATCGCATTTCTGAAACGCAAACTAAGTTTTTCACGGCCAAAACATTTTTGCACATGCAAAAATATAACTACAATACACAGTGTAAGCATGTATGTCGATATTTTCATGTCATTAAATTTGTTAAAATATATATGGGGCATTTATCAACGAACTGATAAGCAGCCACATGTGAGCAAACTTATGACGAACTTTTTAACTAAGAGCGCAAGTAAACGGGAAAATATTGGCCCGAAATCGATTGGTATTAAAGTCGTGAAACATTTTGAAGAATTGCTAAAACCTTACTATAAGCAGTTGATACGACGCTACAGCACGGGCAAGAACGCGTTGTTTACCATTTGATATTTATAGTGAAAACTCCAAATTGTATTTGTATTTGTATTGCTATATATATTTAATAGTATATATGTGCTAAATATGGTTGTAACATGTGCAATTGAGTTTGACAATAATTCCTACGGCACCTACTTTGCTGGCCAAGTCATGACGGGTAAAGTTACGCTGCAAGCGGACATGCCTAAGCAGGTGAAAGGTGAGCTTTACTGCAAGTATTTTATATAAAGGCAAAAGGAGAATAAATCTGATCAAATTTAAAAGCAAATCGTAACTCCAAATGCGACAATTAGGGTTTTTCCAAGTCTCATAAAGTTATAAGTTATAACGATTCGTAAACATAGCTGTGAGAATTGTAAATGTGTACACTCAATTTTGYATAAAATCCAACAACAATTTTTTTAAACAAGTGAAAAATTTATAATTTTATGATTTTACGATGCTTTACGACGTGTTGTGAGTACCCCAAATATTGCTTAATAACGTACGTATCTCAAAAGTGATCTTCATCGCTGAACAAAATTTTCATGCGAATATTGGAATCGGTGGCCATTTCGTTGTTGGCACTTTCAACAAACGTGTAATGTTCATGCACGAGTTCGATTTTAGAGGCTCGCAAACCAAGATATACAAAATCTTTCATAAAACACTCTAGCACAGCTCCAAATGATGTGCGCGACGGCGGATGGACTCATTTGACTCTTCGTCGATACGCTGCTCCACAGTTGGAATAGCGTATTCCGTGCGATTTTTACGGCGTCTCTGAGGATAAACCGCACATCTAAAAACACTCTATATTATCCACGTTCTTGCATCCTATTGTGAGCTAATTGTATTTATATGAGCTTTTGAAATATTCTTTGTCAATTGACATATCAATTTAGTGTAGACTGTCAGTTAAGACATCAGTTGTTGAGTACCGAGATAAAGACATAAATCGTATCGGTATTAAAAACAGGTGCCATTAGAATAAAAAAAACCTAACATTCCATAATGCTATATTATTAGATTAGCTTAAGGTACAAAATTGGATAAGTCTTTAAACATAACTCTGCATCCCTGTTTTGCATATCAGACTACATGCAAATAAGCCTGCCCACAGAAAGCCGAAAAACACGTAGATAGTATAGCACTATTACTCCCCTCCCTAATAAATAACTGTAAGCAATAGGTTAACAACAATGAGACTTTCGCTGGGGTAATTACTCATAGGTCTTGCGAGCATTACTCATCTGGCTAAAATTATCAGATGAGTGACTAATACAACATCTCTGATTATAATATTATAAATTATTACCACTAGCAGTTATTTATGAAAATTTTACTTTTTAGCCATCGTGTTGAAAATTAGCGGTTGCGCAGACACTAGCTGGACGGAAAGCTCCACCAGCACAACGTCCGATGCAAACGGACGTTCGAGCACCCAAACCCAGACAACACACTACAGAGGTCATGAGGATTATATAAAATCGAAGACTTACTTGCTCAGCTCCAACGAAAGTGTGTAGGATTTATGAAAGCATAGTATGATAATTAGCTAAAATTATAGTCTATCCAAATATCTCTCCAACAGACCAATCTGCCGTGATTGAGCCGGGCATACATACCTATACGTTTGCTTGCCTCTTACCCAACACCTGCCCTTCGTCCTTCGAAGGCATCTATGGTTACATACGATATTTGACTAGGGTGGAACTCGTGCGACCATGGAAGTTCAATCAGAATTTTACGCGCGGATTTACGGTTTTGAAAATGACGGATCTGAACTACGACAGTCCTTTATTGCGAGTGAGTAAACTTTAGTAGATATATTCTAACAATTACTAGTTTTGATTTAACTATTCATTTTATAAACCCATTCCAAAGGTACCTAGCAAATCGGAAGCACAAAAGGTTTTTTGTTGTGGGCCTTGCAAAACACAGCCGTTGGAGGTGCACGTTTCCTTGCCACAAAGTGGCTATGTGCCTGGACAAGCGATACCAGTTAGCGTGCTCATATCAAACGAAACCAAGATAAAAGTCGAAGAACTCAAAATCGAATTGGTAATGCTCGTTTGCTATTATAGTCAAACACCATCGACACGTACGAAGAACCAGCGCATACCGGTGCTTAAGTTGAAAGGTGATGGTGTGCCGGTGCATTGCAAAAAACAATTCAACTATACGCTCATTGTGCCGGCTACGCCGCCAACATGCTTCAATCTATGTCGCATCATACAGATTGCCTATCAAGTGGAGGTTGTGACAAAAGTGAAGGGTTGGCATGCGGATCAAGTCATCTGTGTGCCCGTCACGATAGGCAATGTGCCGTTGCTCGGCGTCATACAAAAGCAACCAATGGCGTCTGCTGACAACTTCGTCCCCAACGGTAGTGGTGTTATGAACCGTTCATTCGTGGCGAATGAGGAGAGCGGCGATGCTGGCGATGCTGGCGAGAAGAAGTCCACCGAAGCTAACCAGGTGCAGTCTACCGTACAAGAGGACCCGACAGAAATCAACAATGGTGCCGCGACAAGTTCTGTCATAACACCGGCACCACCAAATCCCTGGGATGCAGATGCCAGTATACGTAAGTAGTTCTTTCATAACACTGATGGTTTATCTGTTTCCTTCGCACAATTCTTATCATTTGCTATAAATCACTTCAAATCCAGCTCAAAGACCCTGCTTCTATAATATTATATATACGATTCAAAGTTCTTTTTCTTTCACAGCACCGCCGTCCTATGAATCCGCTTTGCATATAAAACCAGCTAAACTTAACCTTGATGAAGGGCAAGAATATGGCGAAACCGAATTCGCACCACGTTATCCTGTCTTCAAGGTACCGAGTCCGAGCGCGTCAGGCAAAGACGAAGTTGATGGTGTAGCGACTAGTGGTGTTTCACCAGCGCAAAATAGCACTTGGTTGTGAGCTGAAAGTGTGAATAAATGAATAAAAACTTATAAACAAAGCAACACCAAAATTTGTTTCTTTTCTTCGGAGCGACCTTCAATAACCTGAAAAGGCCTGAAAACCGCAAGCGGTAGGCATGTGAATGAAATTAAAAAAACTGAAAGCTTTTCGATTCTACAACGTTTCCGCCACCAAATATTTTTCATATCAGAAGAACGACGTGCGCTTATCTAAAACCGTAATTTTGTTGCTTTTGTTTTTTCCTTTGTTTTAATATCAAATATGTATTTCTAACTGAATGTATGCATACTGCTGAAAGATCATTTACGTTATTGTTTTATCACAATTACTCACACGTACTTCACCCGCATGCGTATGTATATGTGCTTAATGCGGGATATTTACCCTAAGTGGCGACAAGCTAACGGCGCTTTGTCCAATTTTGGCATATTCAGTCCGAGTCGGTCGGTTGTCGTAGCAAAATGGTCGTAACTTGTGATATTCAGTTCAATCAGAATGAGCACGGTATTTATTTCGCTGACCAATTGGTGGATGGCGCGGTGGTGCTACAGGCTGATAAACCCAAAAATGTTAAAGGTAACGCTAAGTATAAGACTGACGCTAATAAGTGTAGTATTAGGCTTCAATTTCTATGGAGTAAGCGATTTTCAAGCAGCAATTTCGTAAGTGAGGCTATCAGTATTTAATCTTATCTGAAAAGCTAATTTGCACACTTAAGTTCTGAATATTTGCGGGGAATAAAAAATGCATGCAGTGTAAATATTTACATCATTTACTTTAGCTGCTTCAAATAGAATTATATAATGCAGTAAATTGGCAGTAAATAAAATAAAATATAGAAACATAACAGAGCATAACACAACATAACAGGACATAACATAATATAACATAAGATAACATAACACAACATAACATAACATAAAATAGCATAACATAACAAAACTTAACATATATAGCGTAAAGTAACATAACATAGCATAAAATAGCATAACTTAACATACCATTACACAGCATAACATAACGAAAAATCACAAGTAAAGGCTATAATACTTTTCAATGATCCCTTACAAGAAGCTGATTCCGGTCGTTTAGCTATGGTGGTCCGATCTGAAAAATTTTTTCGGACATTGTACTTCTGCCTTGAATAATAAACGTGAAATTTCGTAAAGTAAAAGTTGTCCATAGAAGCTTTTCATTCTGATCGTTCAGCTATAAGCCATAGCTGTTCCGACAGATGGGCAACTTCGTGGGAAGGAAAGGAGATGTGCACTATCCTTCCCAAGAAGTTCCCAAAGTTTCCCAAAATCGTCATCTCAAAAACTGAAGGGCGAGTTTACGTATATACCGACAGACGGGCGGACGGACATGGCTACGTCGATTCAACATTCTGTTCATTTATATATTGTATGAATATACTTTATACGATCTACGGAGTATTTTCTTCACACTTTCCGACAAACTTAATATAGCCTGCTCAAGGCATAAAAATTGCTCACAGTATAATTCAACTTGATAAAATTCCATTCAGTTTATTTGGTATAATTTGTTTAATACAAAGTATCGTATGTACATATTTATTTTTGGAATGCAGGCAAATTAAAGATTTATTGGCTAATTTTTAGTAGATATTTTATCACCACTAACACATTCATATTTATATAGTTGCTACCTTTGCTTATCGTTATCTAGTGCAGGTATTTACTGAATTAATATTCGTGACTACGATTATTAGAATTTTGACTAGATTGTTCTTTTCTTGTTTTGCCATTTACCGGGTTTTTAGCATAATTCAAAACAATGCATTTCTTTTTTTGGAACAAATGAATATGTTCCCTTCTCTTAGGTCTAAAAAAAAGCTTCTTATAAGACTTTTAAATTCTACGCATATTTTCGCATAAATCATTACTATTTCGACCCAATTAGCCGAATATCCTTTTAAGAATAGTTAATTTTTTCACTACTTTTGGTAGTTCGAATTCATCAAGGTTCTAAATACACTACAATATCTCCGAACGATTTCGCCAATTAATATATTTTTACGAAACCCATACGTTCCCAAACGTATAGCAGAGGTCCAAGAAGAATAGAAAGGAAAAGCAGTGAGGTTAAAGAATACGAGATCTGATTTCGCATACATTTATATGATCAAAATGCTGTAAAGGAGCTATTTTTAGTAGGAACTGTAACGAAATGATAGATGAGAGTGAGCCTTCATCGACTTAATTTCAAAGTTCTGCTTGTCATTCGCTGTCATTTGAACTATACTACTTGTCTCAAAATCCTTGAATTATTTACTCTACTTTATTCATTTCTTTATTACTTAATACTTTATTTTCTTCCAGCTGTAATATTGAATATATCGGGATTTGCTATTACAAAATGGCGAGAAAAACGTTTCGGTAAAACACGACACTTTTCCGGACGCGAGGATTATATGGAGTCCAAAACGTATCTAATGGGATCGGAAACAAGTAAGTGTGTGATAAGCTACGTTCAAAATCTGCTACAAAAATTTATTAGCTACTAATTTTCCAATCGATAGGTCAAATTTTTACAATACAAACCGGTACGCACACATATAATTTTACCTGCAAGCTACCAGAGAATTGTCCGACATCATTTGAGGGTCTTCATGGTTGCATTCGATATATAGTTAAAGTTACGCTGGTGATACCCTGGAAATTCAATCAGACTTATACGCGCGGCTTCACAGTGATGAAAATGCTCGATCTTAACTATGAATCACCGCAAATAAAGGTGAGTGCATGGCATATTTGTAACTATTTTTATATGCCATTAAAAGAATATTTTCCAACAATTTTATACTACAGATACCAATAACTTCAGAGAATTATCGTTCATACTGCTGCGGTCCCTGCAAAACGGACCCTCTGAAGATGCAAATACAACTGCCGCAGGCCGGATATGTGCCCGGACAGCGCATACCCGTCACCGCGCTGGTCATCAATAACACCAACATAGCCGTGTCAGAAGTGCGTTATGCGCTCGTAATGTTGGTGCGGTATTCCAGTCCAGCGCCAGCGTTGCACTCATGCCTAGAACGGATTACCATGACGACGGCGAAAAGTGAGTCTGTGCTGCGTAATAGCACGCGTTCGCTAACGCACGAACTTCTTGTACCGTCCACACCACCAACTTGCTTGCGGTCTTGCAGTATTATACGCATTTCCTATCAGGTGGAAGTCGAGGCACGTATGAAGGGTTGGTATTCTAGTCAGACCATAACAATTCCCGTTCTTATTGGAAATGTGCCACTGTGGCAAACACCACCGGTTATACAACAACAACCGCGCGGTAGTCGTATGCCGGCACTAACTGAGGAAGTGTTGTTGCAGGGTAACGAAATGAGCAAGGAGGGCGAGCAACAATCTGTGACTGAAGCACTGGATGAGCAGAATGTAGCATTAACAGGGGTTCAGTCGCCAACGGATATTTACCCGGAGTTGCGTGAGTATTCATTAGATAACGAAAAAGTTGTAGTTGAAGCGTCGTTTTAAACGAATTTCCACTTAAATTTTATTAAGTTCAGAAGTTTCCATAATACGTCAGATAACACTATCCAAAACAGCCCTCATAGAGTAATAGAAAATAACGTATGTATATTATATGAAGTATTTGTTTTGTAAACATCCAGTCACTTTTTGCGCAGAATCTATAATGCGTTCCAAATGTACAATACGATCCAAATTGGCAATACGACCCAAATGTGGAATGTATTCTCATTTTTGAATCCATTTGTGGAATCTGTTCCTTAAGCTTCCGCTAGTAACCAACGTGCCGACATTCCGTAGTGTCGACGTAGTTTTTGTGGTTATTTTGGGTTATTTGGGCACGAGCTATCTCTCTTAAATGCAGAGTTGCAAGTCTCGATATTTTGGACTAATTAAAGAATAAGCTTAAATTTAGTTTAAATATTATCAAACTAACTCAAAATTACAGTCGAATACAATTATTTATTTATGAACTTGACTATAAGTGGATTATTTTTATTATTTAATAATTAAATTTTAGTTCTGATGTTTTACATTATGAAAAATTATAGCAAAAAATTGAACAATTGCTCAATGTAATCAAAAGAAAAGGCAACTGCGTCGCTACGGAAGGACGGCACGTCGTTGACTAAGTGAAGCATTATATAAATATGGATTCTGTAGTTGTGGAAGCTGTAGATAATCCATTTATGTATACAGAGAAAAATCTCCCTTACAGACAATCGTTATAACCGGACACCTCCTTTCCCTGAACAAATTTCATGAACAAAACCATTTCATGAATATTGTCATGTAAAACCAAAACCGGAGAGAAGTAGGTTCCAATGATTGGACACGGACACAACTTTGGTAGTATCTCATTTTAAATATATCTGATAACCCGACAACATTTCATAAAATATATAAAATCAAGTAAGGAAGTAGGGGAAGGGGTAATTTCATGTGTAACAAAACGTTTCGTACTGATGCAACTTGCCAGGCTCTAAGCCAAGGATATTTTGTGAGCTATATGGGCTTTAGGACAAATTTTCACCCAATTTTATCCATTTTGCACGCTTCTTCAATTTATTTCAAATAATTCGTAGGCAGGAAGGTGGTGTTTGATTTGCATTTTAGGATTTGAAATTGGGAAATAGGCGGGTACAACCACACTTTCGTTTGTTTTCGCATTGGAACATTGAAATGGCACGCTTGTAATGTATAATTTAGTCGATTGGTTAGTGAGGGCAGTGTGTCGATTTTTGTTAAACAGAATTTTACAGCTGTGGTTATCTTTTGTTACCTTGAGGAAACATTTTGAATGCAAGTTTTAGCCAAAGCCCCTAATATGGCCAGCATCTATATCCCTACTGCACACTGAAAGGGTGAGTGTCCGGTTATGAGGAATTTTACTGTGTAAGTAGTTACATCCTTGCCATAACCACGATTTGCTTAACGTTGACTTTTGAATAGCGAATTTACATTTCCTCGAAGATGCTTTATCCTCAAAAACAATTTTAAATTTTTTCACATATCGA